GAAATATGTGTCTTACCAAGAAGCAAACCAAAGCCCGTTAATGGGAACCTTTCCATTTATTTATTGGACTTTGGATCAGGCCCCAGATGGCTGCAGTGTTGTGTTTAAGCAATCCCATAGGGGAAATTCCCTCTCTGTGGCAGCATTTCCTGCCCCTCTGCCTTTGTTTAGTGTCAATGCAGTATAGCATGCAGTTTCTTCCCAGCATGACGAGCAGCACGAATGTCGCTGTGCCAGTCTACGCGACAATGGAGCTGTGTTACCATGGGCAATGCTGGCTGCTGGATACGGAGACTCCCACTATCCAGTGATGTTCAGGCGGGCAAAGTGTCACCTTTGCAGAAGGAGACTGTGTTTTATATGGGGTCAAATCCTGAAGCCAGTGGGCATTTTGCCATGGACTCCCATGGGACCAAGATTTGACTCATTTTGCGTTTTTTAATATATGATGCTAGGTGATGCCTAATTCTGCTTCCATTGAAGTCAGTATCAAATGCCACCTGGGTTTCATTGGATTCTGGATTGGGCAGGTGGGTCCCAATCTGGAAAGGCCCCTCCACCTACCATTAATACGGTGACCAGGGCAACCCCCAAGGAGTTTAGGTCCAGAGTGGGGCAATTAATTTCCCCATATTTTTGTCCTCGTGTGGCATCATCATCCTGAGTTTAAATGGGTTTGGCCGTGCCATGGTGTCCCCAGTACAGAGTCACCTGCTGGAAAAACCTAAGAGTGTGATGAAAGCCAAAATGCAAAGAGGGGAAAGATCTTCTTGTGGGTAAAACACAGGATCGGGGCCCGGGACCCAGCGCTGTCATAGACTAACCTCACAGGTTAGTTTCAGAGGGGCCCAAGGGAGTCAGATACCAAACTCCCCTTAATTTGGGCACCTAATTCCCTAAGGCGCCACTGAAATCACCAGCCTCCGTGCCTCAGTTTCTCCCTCAGAGAAATGGGAGGTAAAAATATTGACCTTGCCTCACAGGAATGTTGTGAGGTTTTTATTAATGTGTTGGATCATTTATAGGCCTTTGGCTGGAATTGCTGTGCTACTAGCCCAGTGCTGTGGTGGTTATTAATGCAGGAGGGAAATGTGGGTTGAAATTATGACTGGCGATATTGTTGAGGGGAAGTTTTACAGCTGTGTAAACACATCTCCTCCATTACCCCTGCCTGCATGCATTACTGCATGGTGCTTGGTTTCTGCAGATAACTCACTCTAATGAATATGTGCCCAGTGTCTCTCACAGAGAGCTTGGCAGTGCAAGCAGTTCGTTTGTGCTTTAATGACTCCCATGACACACATGGGCTGTAGACAGCTCTGTGACTAATAAGTTTTTGTTATTAATGGCAAAGGGGGCAAATAGACAATTAAATTATCCCCTGGAACAGGACTATGGAGGAACCTCCGCAAAGCACAGACCAGCACATGTTATGGTCACAGCCATTGGGAACAAAGGGATATTGATGGGTGATGATCCAAGACAGAGCGATCTACAGCGGGAAATTTCCTCACGGGGCAAACAAAGTTTATCTTTACGTACATCATACAAGAAACTGCTTTTTGGAGTGCTGGTCTCACGGGAATCGCATTAGCAAGGCAATCTCAGGGGTGAATACTCGGGATGATGTTCCTTTGTGTTAATGAAGATTTTTAATAAGCAATACAACAAAAGGACAGGCTCCAGTTATAGACCAGCAGTATTTTAGCTATGTCTGTGTATGTGTAATGTGACTTAAAAGGCTGAAATGAGAGGTGGAAATACATGTTAAGATAGGAATAAGGTAGAGCTAATAAAGTCAGTGATGGTCCTACGGTCCACATAAGATAAGCACTTTGCAGGTGGTTCTACTCTGAAAGTGACTCTGTGAAACACCTTTGACCTTCTTTGTACTGAGAAAACGAGGGGTGTTTAGCAAATGTGTCGCTTAACATGTTTTTAAACACCACTTAGGACCTGTTGTGGACAAAGAAAGTATTTTTTAAAAACATGTTGGCTAGTCATGGCCAGTCCTAGGGATTCTGCTCCCATTGGTCAATATCTAGGGTTGACCGTGACCGGCTAATACAACACTGCTGAATTTGTCTACACTAGGTGCAAAGTGGTGTTTAACAACATGTTAATTAGCATGTATTAGCTAACACTGGTGTTAGCCACAGGTGCAAATCCCTACCATATACCTGGTACACCAGGGAGTAAGCTCCCTGGTGCACCATTGCAACTCATGGTTTACCCCATGCACTGCATATACAGTAGGGATTTTAGCTACAAAGATGGCTGTGACCCCAGTGTAAACAAAGCCTAAGGGTATGTCTTCACTGCAGAGTTAACTCGGGTGATCAGCACCTGAGTTAGCCTCAGCTGGGTGTGAGTAACCACACTGCAAAGCCACCCTCGAGATGCTGTGTCCTCTTTGGTGCTGCACTCACCTGTGTGTGCTGCTAGGACTTCGGGAGGCATATCCCAGAGTCCTCTGGCAATGTCGAGTCAAACATTGTTATTCTGAATCGATTCCGAATTTCCCCTGGGAAAACCCACATTTTTGGTTGAAAAATTTCAAGAGATGATTTTTCGTTCAAAATTTCACACAGGGGAAAATGTTGGTTTTCCGGCCTCCTCTGCTGTTATTCAGTGTTGTGGCCACATACCTTCCCTTCCTTATACACAGGCATATTTTCACCTGGAGGTTGGCCACGTCTAGAACTAGAACTTCAATTAGTGCGGCTGTCAATACGTATCTTTAGGCCACCTTTTTAGTTCCCTCTAGTTTGCTGAGGATCATGTTCATTATTGCCAAAACCCCTTTGTTCTGTTAAGCACTTTCCTTCATTGCAGCTGTGACTTAGTTGACTGAAGTTCAATTCCTTATAGGGGCCTTGCTTCCATAGTTCATTGAGCTATGCTGCATCTTCTTTAATTAGCTTGAATTTCTTCTTTTCCTGTGCAGCTAGAATTTCTTGCTCTTTGGATCATAATTCACTTGACAGCTACTTTATCTGCCGTGTGTCACTCTCATCATATGCCGGTGTGCGGGGAGGAGGTGGAGATATTGATCCCACATATTAGATCCCTTACAATTTGGTGGTGCTCTCCTGCTCTTTCTGAGCGTGCCTTTCCTTTGTTAAGGGATTCTATCTCCATAAGCAGAGGGTGTCTTCTTCCTGTAATTCTCCCCTAAAGCTATTATTCCTTCCTTTTGACAATAGGAGTGAATAATCTGCTGGCAGCATAATTCCGTATGATTCACTCTTCGTGACATTCTTCTTCTTCTGGCTCACCTGCCTTGTGGGTGAATAGCAATGTGTTATGTCACAGCCAAACGTACCACACTAGTGATGAGGTAGAAAGAGAAATACCATTGGATAATTGGAGCCTCCCAGTAAAATACCATATAAAATGTGTCAACATGTTTTAGGCAGCATGTCTGTAACGAGCTGGTTAAAATAACCTGGCCTGTTATTACCTCTTTCTACAGCTCAATACACCGAGAACAATCATTGGTATTTAATGGGGACTGAGGAATTTGGCAGCTCCAAAGGCTTTCTATATTTATCTCGGGCTCTCAGATGAGAGAGATTAAAAGAAACGCAGGCCTTGATTTTCCAGCCACTAACATGCTTATTAACAACAGAGCAAATGCAGCAGTAGTTGTGAATGTGAAGTAAGCACGTAGGTGTTTGCTCACATAGGACCATATGCTCCTAGAGTGAGACGTATTTTAAGATGTTGGAGTTTCCTGCAGAAAGCTCTGTGTAACATCCAGTTACCCCCAGCAAAAAATCCATTTCTGCGTGGTACGATGCCATGCCAGGAGAATCACGGACAATAGCCAGGCAAAAAGTTCGTAATGGAACCAGGTGAATTCAGACTCCCCTGATCTAACCACTAGGCTACTTCCCCTTCTCTAACTTACTCCAGTGTAAATCAGGAGTGACTCTGGTGACATGGGTGGAGATACACCAGTGTAAAACAGGCATAAAGTCTGATGCAGACCTGTGAAATACCGAACTGTATGCAGGGTTTGACTATAGGGATTTGGGGTTTGGTCCATCTCTTTTCCCCCTCGTGCTTAGTGGGGTGGGTCTAGAGCTAGATTGACTGGACCAAGCCGCATTTTGGTTTGGGACTGAAGCAATCCACACTTGGGCAAGCCCCATTTCACAGCAGTGCAGGGCATCTATTTTAGGGTTACCATCCTTCAACTTCCCAAAAAGAGGACACTGCTGGGGCGGAGGGGGAACTTGGGGGAGGTGCAATTGGGGGGTGCTGGAGAGGGTGTGTACTGGAAGGGGGGACCTGGGAGGTGCTGTACTCTCAAGGTGGGGGGCAGCATGACTCCCTGTCAAGGTGGCAGGGCAGCTGGGGCAGGCCCGAGACGTAGTGCCAGCCATCTGTCAGCGCCTCCCCCTGCCTCTCCACCTCCCCAGGACTGGGATCTGGTGGCTGCAGCGGAGGGACCAATTGGGATGCAGAGACCAGGTGTTTCTGAGCTGCAACATCTGCACCACAAAAATCCCGGACATTGCCTCTTATTATTTGAAAAATTCACCCAGACAGAGGGCAGAGGATCAAAAGAGAGGAAATGTCTGGAAAAACCCAACATATGATAAGCCTATCTATGCTGAAGGTTTGCACTCGTGTTAGCTACACCTGTTTCATGTACAGCGTGCTGGCTAAGAATGCAAGAGGACTCAATGCTTATAAAATGAAACTGGCTCTTTATTAAAAGAACTAGTTACAGAAGTGCTGCAACTGCAGCTAGCATTCAAGCCATGTGCACACAGACTGACTTCCTGGTGCTTCCTTCACACTCTTCCATCCTGCAAACTGTGCTCCTTCCTCCAAGTTCCATGCAGGTTGCTTCAACACTGAAACAAATATCCCCTCTATGGACAGGCCCTCAGTCTCCCCTCTGTCTGAGGCTTGCACATGCCTGTGTGAATACTGTAGTGGGACCGACACGGAATGAGCTGAATGTTTGCTTTTGCTTCTGTTGTCAGGCTGTGAAGAGTTACTGAAGGATGTGCTGGCTGTCGAAAACCCTGGGTGTCGGCACTATGAGCCGCAGTATGTGGATTACTACTACCAGGTAAGAGATTCACTGATTCTGACTCATGCTGGTGGACTGAGAGAGCTTTCTGGATGATTTATAGAAGGATCACAGTAAGTCCTCTCGCTTTACACCTGGCCTGTTGCCTTTTCCTTTACAGAATAAAAACGAGGAGAATTTCATCTTTGATACTGCTTTAGCTATGCCTGAGGATTAGTGATCTAAATCCAGTGTAGCCCTCAGTTTTGTGGAGTGCAGCCTCATCTAGCACTGTTCTCACCTGTAACCGGTTTCTGATGTCAGTGCTCCCTTGCCCACTAGAGGGTGCCATATATAAACCAGCCGGCACACCCTGAGTGCAGCAAGTGACTTGTGGAAAGGAGCTAGTAGCGAAAAAGCTGTGCCGTGCAAGCGCTGCTGAACTACAGAAGTATAAGGGAGGAATGGATCTGGGCATAAAAGCTGGTCCACATGAGCGGGGGGGAGGGATAGCTCAGTGGTTTGAGCATTGAGCATACAGATCCTGAGAATCCTTAGCTCTATAGAACCCCTGTAATCTCTAGCATGTGTCAAAAATGCTTCCAACAGGGGGCAGCCCGTGGTTCCTCCGCCACCACTCCGACCAGGGGGTGGCCTGTGGCCCCACCACCGCTCCTCCGGACAGGGGGCAGCCCATGGCAGAGCTGCGGAAGTTACCGAGGAATCCGTGACCTCCGTGAAAGACTCGCAACCTTAGGCATGAGTGAGGTTGATAGGTTAGAGTTTAGTCGCATAGGGAGCACCAAGGCTATGTTCAAGGTTGGGGCTAGTGCAGGGTACTGGGGTTAAGTTAGAGTTGGAGCCATTAAATGTACCAGATATGAGTTGCAGTCACTTAGGGTTGCAGCAGGCTGGGGTTAGAGTCTGAAGGTGGCTCTGGTCTACAGTTAGCACTACTGTGGTAAGTGGCCTTGGGCTAGTGTTAGGGCTGGAGCCAGTAGGTGGAGCCAAGCTAGGATTAGGGTTAGAGCAGACAGGTGGCCCTGGGCTAGGGCAGGGGATGGTAAAGGGTCCTTTGTTAGGGTTAGGATTGGAGCCCATAGGAGGTTCGTAGAGGTGCAGCAGAAAATCTCACCCTGGGAGTCTTTCCACTGCCTTCTGCAGGTTTGGGATCAGTTCCCATCTGGACAGAAAAGACAGAGCACACAGTGTGTTTCCCTCCCAGTTAGTAATCTGCATTGCTTCTGTGAAGAGCCTAGTTCCAAGGTTCCCTTGCATTCATCTTTTCCACAGCAGAAATCAATACTTCCTAGGTTGACTGTGATGAGATTGTTTTCTTCCATTTAATGCGCTGTCGAGGTTGGTTGATTTGCAAGGATTTTCATTATGTAGGAATTTTCCCTTGGTGGTTCATATCACAGCCCAAAGCAGCATCTGCACAGGGCCCTGAAGAATGGGAGGACACTGCAGGACTCAGGGGCTCGCAGTGCAAAGCCGAGTACATGCTTAATCATAGCACTTCTGAGGTTTACCTAAACCAGAGACACCCCCTACACTGTTGGGCCCAAATCCTCCGCTTGGTTGCCATCACCTGATGCTGGGCCACAAAGGCTACGTCCGCTGAACCTCCCCTGGGGAGATGAATGCGTGGGTCCCACCCCCTTTGCGGTGCTGCACCAACCACCTCTGCTGTTTGTGAAGAAGAGATTGATTGACCCCACCCCCTTCTTCCCTTGTGCAGTGGAACTGTCCCGAGTCATTTGCCCAGGGGCCCCCTACGACCGCAGACATGGGGGCAGGATTTGAGCCGTAATGTCGGTTAGAATAGGGTGGAGTTGTTGGTACTTATTTGTATTATTGTTTCTTTATGCTGAATGAGAACAACAGTTTGTTTCCTATGTGGGCAGCGTAAGAGTGAGGACGTCCTTACCGCTTAATTTCCTTGCTTCTCAAGCTCCTTGGCTTTGTAACTGATGAGATTGACGGCGACCTGATCTGGTATCCTGAGCCAGATTCCTTGTGTTGAGATAGATGCTGGGTAGACACTATGAAAGGACAACTCAGAAATGAAAAGCAGGGGGCTTCCTCAGACCTGTACCACTGCCATGGGGACATCTGAAGGCAAGCGAAGTGCTCTTTCAGCATTGCATTCTCAGCCTTGACTGCCGGAGGGCTGCTGTGACGTACTCCATTCAAAGCACTGGCGAAAAGGGATTTCTCAGCCTTCTAGAAGACTGCAGTCCTGATACATTTTGCAGCTGAGCCTGAGTAACATTCCTCCAACCTAGCGGCTGGAAGAGGCCCGGGAAGAAAGTTATCTTTGCTGCTAACACTGGTAGCAACTGGGAAGTCTTCTTGGAGCTCAAGTGGCAAAGATGCTGTACTCAGATCCTTGATTCAGACCTTAGTGTAGACAGATTGCACCTGGACTGAGGAAAAATGCATTCACCAGGTTCAAAATGGGCTGCTTTTTGTAATGCTGTTATGGAAACTTTGCTGGCAGTACTGGGAGAGCCCAGAGTGGTTCCCAAGCACCTGTTGCATAGGCAGTGGGCTAGATTCACCTTCAGCAAAATCCAAGCACCTACCCCCCCCTCACACCCCACATGATGGAAAGTCTGTATGGGAAAAGGACACCATGGCACACGCTGCTTGCCATCCCCATCTGTCAGAGGACTCCGCTGGCAGAGTCCAGCGGGGCAGAAGACGAGAGACTAATTTGAAGCACTCTTGGAACTGCACTTTGTAAGTGCAATTTTGAAAATGTTCACTAGATGTCAGCATCAGACTGACGAAAGGCCGGTGAGTGAGCGCCTCTGTTTCCTCCACTCTTGTAGTGACACCCAGCTGCTGCTGTTGGGGCTTTCAGTCCCCCAAAGAAGAGAAGAGAAAACAAGTTACTTTTGATGTGCACAGGGATCCCGGCCTATCAGCAACAGCAAGAGTTTCATGCCCAGCTCCCTATGAAAATGTACTGGCTCCTGACCGGTTTCCTGGGTTCCTTAGTAAATGCAAAATCTCGGTGACGCAGGCAATTATACAGGTACCTCTCACGGCTTCAATTGAGAGTTGCCCGTCTCATTTTCTTTGCACCCTCCTATCTGCACCCCACTTCTAACGCTCAGGGGTGCAGTTAGGGGAAGGCGCCAAGAGGCAGGATGCCTGAGCTCTGCCGCTGCATTGAGGGGGACCAGAAACAGGATAGTAAGAAGTTGGGGCATGAGACATGTCCCCTTTATTCCACCCAGAGAGTTGCACTTATGCTACCCTGGTGTTCAGCTTGCTTCTTTGTTGTGGTGCTGACTCAGGGGTTTAAAGGCCTGGTCTGGGGGAGGAAGGAGGAAAAATAATACCCTTGTATCACAAGTTCCCTTCTCAAACGCGACCAAGGGGTTGCCTTGCCCTCTCCTCCCAAGTGCCCACTCTGCACAGAGATGCCCAGCTTCAGCGCAAAGGTGGACGTGTGAGAGGAGTTGGAGGCAGCGCTGAGAAGTAGGGTGGCGTATGCAGGAGCTTGAGAGATGCACCGAACCAGCTGTGTGTGTAGGTTGAGACAGACAGGGAGGAAGAAACTGCTGAGCATCCAGCCTTTAATCTCAGTCAATCGGGTGCAATTAATTTGACCTGATATTTAAAATCCCCAGATATCAAGGGTTTTATGGCTATTCATTTTACACCTTCTAAAATGGTCCCTTTTTACATTAACAGCGATAACATTAACAGGGTTTGCCTGAGGAAACTGGGCCATTTTTTGAGTGAAAACAAAACAAAAAATGTGAAACTTTAGAACTTTTACAAATTGTGTTTCACGTGCAAATGTGCAATTTTAAACATCGCATCTTTCAAAGTGCAAATGACCATTTCACGGGACTTTTTCACCAGGAAAAAACACTATAGTCATGAAATGGCCTCGACTGGGAGGATGTAACACATTTCATGCAAAAAACAACAACTGTCATCCGGTAGTAGACCCAGTCCTGTTTTCTATGTCTCACTCATTAGCCATTAACAACATTTGATTGTCATAAGGACAGAATCACTGAATTCTCTGTGTAAGGGAAGAGGAGGAGTTCAGAGAACAGTGTTTGGTGTTGGTACTTGTCCTGGTGTTGGAGATTTGGGGTAGGTTATGTTGTGGTTAACATAACACAAGAGGGTTCTTTTGATTAAATACAATTCGGCAATATCTGATTCCAGGATGGTGTACTGTCTGCGGTGGAGTTATGATGGGTTACAACTAGCTATTGTACTCCACCCTAAGAGCTTGGTCCCATTGACTTTGGGTCGGGCCCTGAAGGAGTGAGTTATTCCCATGGAGATACAGTGGTTCCCCGTTGTTACCTGTTGTAGATGAAGCTTTTCCAAGGAAGAGAGAGGAAGGGCGAGCCAGTGCTTAGAATACTAGCCTAGACTGGAAAGTGCAGAGTTCAGTTCCCTACTTCGCCACATACTTCCTGTGGGACCTTGGGCAAGTCACTTAGGGTACGTCTACACTACCCGCCGGATCGGCAGGTAGTGATCGATCTATCGGGGATCGATTTATCACCTCTAGTGTAGACGCGATAAATCGATCCCCGATCGCTCTGCCGTCGACTCCTGTACTCCACCGCGATGAGAGGCGGAAGTGGAGATGACGGGGGAGTGGCGGCAGTCGACCCCGCGCCATGAGGACTTGAGGTAAGTTGACCTTGAAAGTGTGTGGGCCCCTTACTGAATGAGGGAGGCAACCTAGTGACCGAGGATGTGGAAAAAGCTAATGTACTCAATGCTTTTTTTGCCTCTGTCTTCACGAACAAGGTCAGCTCCCAGACTGCTGCACTGAGCAGCACAATATGGGGAGAAGGTGACCAGCCCTATGTGGAGAAAGAAGTGGTTCGGGACTATTTAGAAAAACTGGACGTGCACAAGTCCATGGGGCCGGATGCGCTGCATCCGAGGGTGCTAAAGGAGTTGGCGGATGAGATTGCAGAGCCATTAGCCATTATTTTTGAAAACTCATGGCGATCGGGGGAGGTCCCGGATGACTGGAAAAAGGCTAATGTAGTGCCCATCTTTAAAAA